AGAATACTCACACACAGAGACCCACAGACTACTCACACAGTAGAGACCCACAGACTACTCACACAGTAGAGACCCACAGACTACTCACACAGTAGAGACCCACAGACTACTCACACAGTAGAGACCCACAGACTACTCACACAGTAGAAACCCACAGACTACTCACGCAGTAGAGACCCACAGACTACTCACACAGTAGAGACCCACAGACTACTCACACAGAGACCAATAGACTCATCACACAGAGACCCGCTAACAGCTCCACCTTTGTCTCCTGCAGTGATGAACCCGGTGTTCTGCCAGGGCAAGGCTGATGGGCTGTACCCAGACCCCTCAGACTCCCACAGCTTCTACCTATGCTCCAATTCCGTGACGTACCGCCAGAAATGTCCATCCACCCTGGTGTTCAACCCGGCCATCAGCGTGTGCGACTGGCCTGGTACGTATGGCACATTCACCCCATCCACTCACTCACTCACTCACCCATTCACCCACTCACTCACTCACCCACTCACACATTTACCCATCCATTCATTCACCTACCCACTCGCACACTAAATCCCCCACTCATTAATTAATTTACCCACTCATGCACCCACCCACTCACTCATTCACCCACCCATTAATTAATCTCCTCACTTGTACGCCTACTCAACAACAACAACCACCGGCACAAGCTTCGTGGTGGCGGTGACGTCACCGAGACGCTTGTGCCAGGCTATGTGCACGTTGAGGCCACGTGAAGTGTTTAATGCCTGCCGGCAGCAGGTCACCGGGCAGACCCAGGTGCCTCGGATCAACTGAGATGACCGAGATGACTTGCCGATGTACCACCTGTGCCCTCTACTGTGCCAACTTGCTGTGCTTTAGCCACCCGGTGCTCTGCCCGTTGTTGTGAGTGTCGCTCATCTGCCCTCTGTTGTTGTTGGAGGGCGACTGCCTCCAACTGCACAGTAGCGTCCTTCACGAGCCTCTTCCACAGAGGCCGATCTTGACACCGCTGGTACCAGTCATCGGCAAGTCCACTCAGCTCCACGTCCTCCTGTACCACGTCACTCCATCTCTTTTCTAGCCCGTGCCGCGCCCGTTTAGCCCCCTCGATCCGGCCGAACAAAAGCTATTTAGGCATGCGGTAGCTGGGCATGCGGGCTACATGACCTAGCCAACGCAGCCTTGCCTGCCGGAGAAGCTCACCGATGGAACTTTGTCCAGATCTTTCAAGGATTTGTGAGCTCCTCACGCAATTCAGCCTGGTTAAACCCAGGATGGATCGTAGGCAGGCCAGCCTAAATGTTTCTAACCGGCGAAGATGTTTCATTAGGAGGGTCCACGTTTCGCAAGCGTAGAAAAGGGAGGGAAAGACTGTGGCCAAAAAGACCTGAAGCTTCGTGCGGAGCGACAGACCAGGTTGCCTCCACGCAGCGTTACGCAACCGATGAGAAGATAATGCCGCTCGACTGATTCGGAGTGAGACCTCTGCTGTCAAACTGGAGCCGTTCATGAGCTCACTACCCAGGTATGGGAAACTCTCCATTCTCTCCACAACTGCCCCATCACCAATTGGGAGTTGTGGGGGTGGAGTGTCCGATGGTACAAACACCCAGGCAGGTGCTTAGTTTTGGTGGGGCTGATGGTAAGTCCCCACCTCTTAGTGACACACTCCAGGTTCAGCTGCAGCACCTCCAACTCCTCCTCTGAGTGAGCAGCAATTACCAGATCATCGGCATACATACCGTGGTTGAGCAATAGGGAGCCATCCCTTGACTGCACCCGGGCATCGATCAGGCTCCCATTGTATGTGTACCAGATGAAAATTATTGTGATACAGCCATTGAAGGTTTCATGAACTACGTGGTCAAAATAGATGTGAAATCATGTGGGAGCCAGAGGACATCCCTGACGCACCCCGAGATGAACAGGGAATGGCTGACTCCTAGCCACGTAGTTTTACCCGGGCCCGCTCACCATCATGAAGGTCCTTAATTATCCTGAGCAATGAGTCAGGGACACCGAAAGCACGAAGAACAACCCAGAGCCCAGGCCCACTGATGGTATCATTGGCCTTGACCAGGCCAAAAAAGCAGAGATGTAAGTCTTGTTGGAATTCCCGACACCTCTGCTGTAGCAAACGGACAGAAAATATGGCATCTGTCTAGGACCGCCCTTTCCTGAAACCGCATTGGGGCTCCGCAAGACTCTCCTCAGCGTGCCTAGCAAGGCGATGTTGAATAATCCTTGCCAGGACCTTTCCCACCACACTGAGGAGTGAGATGCCCCTGTAGTTGTTACAGTCTGTGCGGTCCCCCTTCTTAAAGATGGGGACCACCAGGGCATCCTTCCAATCATGCGAAACCCGACCAGTGGTCCAGACTGTTGTTATGATGTCATATAGGGCAGTCTGTGCACAAAAGCCACCCTCCCTCAAAATTTCGTTTGGGAGATCAAATCTGCCCGATGCCTATCCCAGTCTCAGACTCTGGATCACCTTCAGTACTTCCTCAACTGATGGCACCTCAGGCAGCCACTCACAGGGGGTGAATTCTTCCAATATTTGAGGCACCGCAGCCTCAGCAGGGTCATTCCCAATTTGTCCCACGATGTTTTCCATGTGGAGGGATTTCTCCTCCCCCAGGACTTCACAGAAATGCTCAGCAAATCTGCCAACCTGTTCCTGGGGGTCGGAGATTGGATCACTGTTTTTTCCCCTAATGATGGTAATAGGTGTGTCGCTGCAGGTTACTTTTTTGATAGAATTAAATAGGGATTTGTGATCGCGGCCCATTGAGGCAGACTCCATCTCCTCAGTAACCCGCGACCACCACCCATGCAGCGCCTCACGGCTCACTGACATGGGATGTTGTACCCGATGAGAGTGGGCCTGTCGCTTTTTCTCAACTGTCCTGAACACCTCCTCTGTCAGCCAGGATCTCTGGGGAGGTCTTGACCGCGTACCCAAAGCAGCCATTGCAGCTGCCTGAGTCACAGTCCTTAACCTCACCCATTTACTCTCGAAATCTGGAGGAGTGGGGGACGATGCCAACCCCAGCCGCAAGCGATCAGCTAGCTGAGACCAGGCAACCTTAGGTTTGAATGGGGTCCTGGGTGTACTCCCCCCACCGGAGTGGAAGAATGGCATGCGCATCTTACAGATGACTAGTTGATGGTCAGAGGGTAAATCAGCTCCACGGTAGGTCCTGGTGTCAAGGACATGGGCCCGCATCCGCTGTTCCGTCACTACGTAGTCCAGCAGATGTTCTTGCTTGGACCCAGCATGCATCCATGATGTTGTATGGATGCGCCGATGCAGGAACAGCGTGTTGATAATTACAAGCCCATGGGCTGCACAAAAATCTAGCAACCTCCTACCGTTGTTATTGAGCTGATCTGGCCCATGCCTTCCAATCACTCCAGACCAGGTGCCAGCATCATGACCAACTCGGGCATTAAAGTCACCCAACAAGATGACTGTCCCGAGGGGCCACTTAACTAGCACCTGTGACAGGAGGTCATAGAAGGCATCCGACTCATCAGCCTTTGCCTGCATCCCTGCATGGATGTTCGTCACCGGTGGGGACATAAATAACCACGACCACCACTCCTCACCTTTGGTCGATGGGAAGGCGAGCCCAAAGAAGCCTGGGGCTTACAGCTTCCCACACCTCACCGCCATGCTCCCACGCCCCCTTCATTCTTTTGTTCAGAAGAAGAGCCACACCCTGTTGTTTGGCAGTCTCCTGCCCCGAGTAGAGGACTGTCCACCCCTCATCGTGGCAGGAGCCAGAGCCGGTCCACCAGACCTCCTGAATACCACAGAGATCCAGGCGGTACTAGTCCAGCTCCCGACAGAAGAGTGGCAGCCTCTCCTCCGCAGTGAGCATTCGAATAGTCCACGTGGCCATCTGTAGTGGTTTTTTGTTGTTTCTGGAGGAGCCCCGAGGGTAAAGATTCAATCTCCTGGCCCTGCCAAATGGGGTTTGGCCAGGAGACGCCTGTCCCCCCGGGGCCTCCGGCACAAGCTTGTTAATTACATTTTTCAGTCGGAGTTTAGCCCCCATTTAGCCGCTGTGGTGGTCACAGATGCCATGAGGAAAAAGGCCAATCGGAATTGGCCCTCCCCCCCTCAGCACTGTCCACGACAGCGTTGTCCGTCCAGCACCACGAGGTAGGGGTTTGTTTTACACACTCATCACGCAGAGACCCACAGACTCATCACACAGAGACCCACAGACTCATCACACAGAGACCCACAGACTCATCACGCAGAGACCCATAGACTCATCACGCAGAGACCCACAGACTCATCACACAGAGACCCACATACTCAACACACAGAGACCCACAGACTCAACACACAGAGACCCACAGACTCATCACACAGAGACCCACAGACTCATCACACAGAGACCCACAGACTCATCACAATAAGACCCACAGACTCATCACACAGAGACCCACGTACACAGAGACCCGCTAACAGCTCCACCTTTGTCTCCTGCAGCGGTGAACTCGGCTTTCTGTCAGGACAAGGCTGATGGGATGTACGCAGACCCCTCAGACTCCCACAGCTTCTACCACTGCTCCAATTCCCTGACGTACCACAAGCAATGTCCAGCCAACCTGGTGTTCAACCCGGCCATCAGCGTGTGCAACTGGCGCGGTACGTATGGCACATTCACCCTATCAACTCAATCACCCATTCAAATATTCACCCACCCATTCATTCACCTCCTCACTTGTGCACACACACAACTGCTATTCGCCATTAAGTGGCGGTGACGTCACCACGACGCTTGTGCCAGGCCATGTGCACCTTGAAGCCACGTGAAGCGTCGAACGCCCGCCGGCAGGAGGTCACGGCGCAGACCCAGGTGGTGGTAGTGCTGGTGGTGGCGGTGGTGCTAGTGGTGCTAGTGGTGATGGAGGTGCTAGTGGTGGTGGTGCTGGTGGTGGCGGTGGGGTAATCCCGTGCCACCTTTGTCTCTCTCTCTGTGTGACCGCAGGAGTCTAGGTTGGAGTCACGGGACTTCCAGGAAATGAAGACGCCTCCTGCAATGTCACCATCACCACCACATCACCATCAATTCACCACCATCATAATCACCACCACCAACACCATCATCACCACCACATCACTACTATAATCATCGTGACTACCATCACCACCACATCACTACCATCACCACCACTATCACTACCGTCACCACCACTATCACTACAATCACCACCACTATCACTACCATCACCACCACTATCATTACATTACCACCACTATCATTACAATTACCACCACTATCACTACCATCATCATGATCATCATAGGGGCTGATGTTCCTCCTCGCTACTAGCAGCACTTGCCCCTAAAGCCCACTAGAGGCTACACGGAAGACCTTTGTCTTTGTGTCTATAGGGACAGCTACTCACTACTAACGGCACTTGCCCCTACAGCCTGCTAGAGGCTACACGGGGGAGCTTGGTCTTTGTCTAGTGTCTTGAATCACGTACGAATAAACTCTTTTGAGCCACACACTGTTCATGGTCTTTCTTTCGACACGGTCCCTAACACACAAGAGGTATACGGTCCCCTTACCCACTAACCTGAGGTACAGCCTCCGGGCTTGGCCATAACTACACACGAGTCTACCCGCATCACCTAGCGTCCTCCGGCTGGGACCTAGGGGAGGCTAACTCTGGTCACGCAGAGCCTCATGCCTTAGAAGGGCTAGAAGGCTGGGAGCCAGGGTCCCTATCTTCTTCAACGCGGGCTTTGGTCTTCGTGTGAGGAGAACTGAGCCAGAGGTCTCAGCGCTCTGGCTTTTATACTGGTGTAATGGTCTTGGAGGGAGAATGGGAGCGGAATCGCCCGTATCAATGTGGTGGTTCAATAGATTAGTGCACCCGATATCAAATTTGTGCTTGCTAAAAACATCGGCGAATTCACGGAGTAGTATACGCAATCGCAATCGCTGGGACTCGGGAAGATTTTCAACCCCCGAATAGAAAGAATGCATCCAACCATCATCGGTGTCAGAATGCGCCTCGAACCGAGGCGTACCATCCACATGAGCCACGATGGAGTCAGTGTGGAGTGGCAGCGATGCATGAGCAATCACAGCCCCCTGGTTCACGACCTTTGTCCGCAACCCTGCATTCAGCACCTGAATGAAGGGTTGTCTATCAGCAGGCACAAGTGTTTGTGCTCCCACCAGCTCCAATCCCCGTACGGCCGTGTTGGAAGGAGCCAGAAAAATACCCGACATTGTCTCCGACCCGAGCGGTTTCCGCAACCGAAGCGGATAAATTTCGATTTAAAGCTTTCGTGACTGCAGGGATTCATCTTCTTGGTTCTTTCGGTAAAGTCACGTAACTTTACCGAAAGAACCAAGAAGAACCGAAGCGGAATTAACATTTGCGCGCCCGGCGGAATCCGAACGGTTTGGGACGCCGTCGCCGGAACGGTCGCGCAAGCCGCGCGTAGCCGGGTGGGTGAGGGCAGGAACGACATCCGGCGGTCCGAAGGGAGCTCAATGCAGCCTCTGTCAATCAAAATTTTAATGGGCATTTTGCCGAGGAAATCTGTGCCCAGCAAAACAGGGAACGGCAAGGGTCTCTGAAACCAAAATGGAACCCGTTAATTTAATATCGCCAATACAAATTTGTGCCGTTATCTGACCAATTATTCCCAAGGAACCTCCATTTGCTGCAAAGCAAGGGATGGAAACCGGGGCGAGCGCCTGACACCTCTGGGGCAGCACATTGTAAATGAGGTCAGAAATTATGGTTGCTGAAGCGCCCGTATCAACCAGTAACCGAAATTCAACTCCCTCGATGGCGCCGATGATAACAGAAGAGCCCGTAGCCGCGGCTACAAACCCTGTGGGCCAACTCCGACCACTGAACTGGTCGGAGTGGCTGCCGAACATCAACTCTATCCCGGCTCTGACCATTCGACCCAACGTGACGGAGCGGTACATGTGTAATAAAGGACTCTCTCCCAGACGTCGATCTCCGTTGTCCTTTACTGGGTTCGTAGAATCTCCGTGCCACGGCGTCTCGCTCAGGCCCGCGTCCCGCTCGACGACCTCCCCACAGCCCTCGGCTGCTCCGTTGTGCAGTCTCCCTGCTGCTCCAATATGCAGTCTCACTGCTGCCCCGTCAGGCAATCCTTGCAGCCACACCGCTGCTACGCTATCTAGCGTCACTGCTGCCCTTTTCACAGCTAGCCTCTCACTGCCCCGTCAGCTCTCTTCGTCTGACGCCGATGGCCGTCGGTGTCGACGTCTCCCACCGCGTGGCAACCGCGCCACACTCTCCGTCTTGCCCAGCGTGCCCTCCTCGTGTTTCACTCCGTCTCAACTCCCCTTTCCCCTTCCGGTTCTCTCCCTAAATCCTCTCCCCCACGTGACCCCAACTCCACCCACTTCCCACGTGACCCAGACTCCACCCCCCCTCAATCCTTGCTCGCATTACACATGGAAACGAGGAGTGTGAGATGAGAGCAAGGGCCGAATGCGTGAGGTGTCGCGACTTGCCTGCGGTTTCTGTGGAGCGGCAGGCGTGCGGGGGGACGATGGTGGCCGTCCCGGAGCGCGGCGTCGAGGAGCTGGGCAGCCCGATGACAGATGACCTTGCTGGCCGCAGTTGTAGCACGTGACGCGGGCCCATGCCCGCGGGGAACCGTGTCTCCGCCGAGGCTCACCCTGGCGAGGCCGGTCGGTCGCTCTCCAGCTCGCGGCGTGCTGTGATGCAAAGGCCTGGTTGTCCAGGACCTCGTTCTCCTGCGCGGCGATGTGCGTGGCACACGACGCCACCTGCCCGTCCCGCTGGAGCAGCAGCTCCCGTGTGTAGATAATGGGCAGCGCGCAGTGAGGAGAGATTCGCCTCGTCCTTGACGTGAATGGCGATTCGCAACTCACGTGCCAGCAGCAACATCTTCTCAAGCACAACGGTGTCGAGGCCCACGTCGTCCATCCGAGGGTAGGCCGCTTCAGCCAGCGCCATCAGCGCGCTCTGGTAGGCGAGGCGGGTCTCGTCAGCCTCCGATGGGGGCCCGCACACCAAAGCCATCCGATCGAGGGCGTCCTGTAGCGTGGTGCGATCCTTCCGTGGGATGAGGAGGAACGTAGCCAGAGCGATGTCGTCCAGTGCGGAAGGCAAAGGTCAGAGAGCAATGTCTGCAGTCCACCCTGCCGTCTCAGCATTTGCCGCGAATCGTCGGGCAAAAGCTGCCCAGTCTCCGCCTTTAGCCGCGAAGACTTGTAGAGACGGCAAGCGCTGTTGCAGGCCAGGGATGTAGTCCCCCGTCCA